GGGGACCTTACCACACCCTTAACAGCTACGTGAAAGAAGGATGGAGTGAAGAGGTGACTGGTCTCTTCTCCCAAGTAACAGGTGATAGGACAAGAGGTAATGGCCTCAAGTTGTGCTGGAGGGGTTAGACTGGATGTTAGGAAAAATTTCTTCACCAAGAAGGTGGTCAGGCTCTGGAATAGGCTGCCCACGGCACTGGTGGAATCACCGTCCCTGGAAGTGTTCAAAAGCATGCAAATGAGGCCCCTAGTGACATGGTTTAGTGGTGGTCTTGGCAGTACTGGGGTTGCACTTGATGATCTTAAAGGTCTTTTTCAACCTAGTTGATTCTATGATTCTATGAAGGAGCCACCTCTCCTGCCTCCCTGTTCTATACAGCATTACTTTCTGAACTACCAGTGCACTGTGGGAAGCCTGCATCATATTCTTGGAGATCTGGAGTAAAAAAAATACAGCAGTCTAGCACCATATGAAGATAAAACAATTCTAGGTTCATATGGCTCAAATTTCTGCAGAGGACATTGATTCCAGGTGGTGGCAAATCATGTGTGCCATTCCTGAGTCGCCATAGCCTTTTGGCAGGGATCTGGCAGCATCCTTCTGCATTGGCTTTTGGCTACGTGATGCTGTCAACTCTGTCATCTTGACTCATTTGTCTAAAAACAACTCCCTGCTGCTCAGGGAGGAAAACACCCAGTGGGTGCCTGCCAGTCAGGAAATAAGAAATTGCTCAGTGTGGAAAGGTGACAGAATTACAGCTGCTAGAGAACAGTAGAGAGGTGCTAAGGTCTTCATGTACTGGCACTGTCCTGTAACAGAAGCCAAATTAGTATTTGTTCAAGGAAATTCACTCATTGTCTGCCCCACTTGTGTCACTAAGTAATGTTTCTACCATATTCTTGTGAGTGACTAAGGTCTGCATTTGCAAATGGGAATTATGTTACCATAAATCTGTTATACTTTCAACTAAATGCTATTCTCAGAACAAATTAAATACTTTGGATAATGTCCATGGTGCTTGGCTTTGCAGAAACTCCTGTGGGGAGTTTCTGTAGTGTTTCTGTACAAGTGACTTAGAATCATAGAATAGTTAGGGTTGGAAAGGACCTTAAGATCATCTAGTTCCGACCCCCCTTGCCATGGGCAGGGACAACTCACACTAAACCATCTCACCCAAGGCTCTGTCCAGTCTTCTAGAAGTGTGTTTGTGTCTATGCATGTATAAATGTATTTTAACCCTTTTCTTTAAAAACTAAGAAAAGTTAAGGCTGTACATCTGGTGAAGGGATGCAATTGCACATTTATCACTCTTCCCACCCGAGATGAATGTCACCCAAAATGTGAATGTTACCCTTGGGATTCATGGAAAGGCTGTAACACGCAGAGTATGACTCCTGTTAGGAGCCATTGTGGGAGGGCACAGGCAGAAATAAACACAGCACATCAGTAACGAGATCAGTTCTTATATATTCTTCTGCATTAGTTGCCATTGAATTTCTTGCTCTGCACGGAGCAGATCTGACTTTAATTGGAATATGCTTTTTAGGGGAGTAAGGAGATGTGTGGGTTTTGTAGAGCAGTGGGGTTCTTCCTGTTGAAGGCTGAAGGCAAATATGTCATTTTTCAGCATGCCTCTTGCAAGGTCTTGGCAGATCATTGCACCTCTTTACCTCAGATTGGAGAGATTTGGGGTGTTTCCTGTTATGCAGTGATTTGGAAGGTGCCTGAACACTTCATAGCAATCCTGAAAATAAGCCTGAAACTGAAGGCAAACCAGCTCCCTAAACATACTTGTTCTTCCAAGATGTTCTTGCAGGTTTTCCTGAACCAGCTTAAAAAATTTCCAAAGCTTTGTGAAATTTGCAGCTCCCTCAGTTTATACTCCAAGAGGAATGCTTCCAACAAATGCTGTTTTCTCCCCAGTCCCATTTGTTATGAAACTAATGATGTCCCTATAGCTGCAGGATTGCTTCCTGTGATAATCTGTAGGCTTCTGCCTCTTTCATTCTTGTGACATAGGTGAGATGAAAGATAACAGACAACAGTATAAAGAAGAGTATCTAGAAAAAGGTGTAATGAACACCTGGGATTATGAAGGAAAATTGCCTTTGCCAGGGATGCTGCTGGGTAGCATCCTTAGATTAACATATAAATTATGTGCAGTGCTTTATTTATTTTTTTTTTAAGAAAATAAGCAAAAAGGCAGTGCTGCCTTTTCCCTGCATACCACCACCACCACCCGTGTTTTAGAAGCATTTAAACTGAAAGTGGTACTAATTTCGTGAAAGCTGATGGCTTGTAACCAGTTGTTGATGGCAAGTAGTTACAAGCAATAGAGAGCTAAACTGGTAACTTAAATTACTAGGCCAGGGATGATGGGCGACAATGTGCTCGCTCTGATTTGTTGGTTTTCATTTGGCTCTTTTTTTTCCTGTACTAGAGTTCAAAAGCTAGAATCGATTTCCTGATGGTGTAAAGCTGCTTGTTACGCTACCAGCCTAGCAAATAAAGGCCTGTTTTATGTAAAGGTTAAATATTAACTCACTTAATGGAAGGCTTTGCCTGGTAGCCTGAAGATCCTGTAAAACTGTTTGTTTGCCATTTGCTGAGTGAATTTGGACTCAAGTAGTAGGATTCCTATTTATTTAATCTATCTGACAACGGGAATAACAACAGTGAAGGGGATAGAGAAACGCATGAACTTCTGAGGCAGTAGAACTGGTCATCTTTTATTTTTATTTCATTTGAGGATGATAAGACAACATGAAAATCACAAGCGTTTCAGTATTGGCTTTTACCTCAAAACACAGGGGTTTGCCAAACTAAAATTGTTCTGCACAGTCAAATAACTGTGTTCTGACACATGGGACCAAAGTAGGAAAGAGAAAATCATCTTCCTGGTGCTGTGAATCTTTAATTAATTTTTATGAGGCTTATTTAGGGATCCTTTTGATGAAGTCTCACAGGTGATAGCATCTTAAGGTTTTTTTTTATTTCCTGTGTGTGTAAAGACTGTTTATTATTTTGAGTCTTCAAACATGAAATTTGGATCAATTTTGTTTCGTGCTGAGAGCAGAAGTAAGGCTACAGATTATGGAGTGCTTTAATCAGAATTGCATACAAAAATTTCCTGTAATTTTATAGATAACGATGTTCTCCCATTAGAGGATAATTAAGAACTTTCTTATATTCCTTGTCCAGGGATATAGGTGTTTGTCCAGCTGTGTGCAAAGGTGTTTACTTAAGATATAAGAGGAGCCAAAGAGTAAGCTTCATTTGAAGTACTTTTAGGATTTTTTTCTTTTTTTGAAGCTAAGCAAACAACCCTCCTCAGCAACTTTAATTTTCACTTTTTAAATGATTTTATCTTCTCCTTGTGTAGTTGAAAAATGTGTTAACTGGAGAAATAACGCATTATTAAAATTTCAAGCAAACGTGGGATTTGCTTTAAAAAATAATGTGACTTCTGTAGCATGCAGTGGAGTACTGCTGAGACTACCATGACACAACAGGACCTGGTCTTACATTTACATGCATGCTTTGTAGGTAATTGTGTGTTTCAGGTCTGTTTTCCTGTGTAGATCATGTCCCTGTTGCAGACAGAGACGGGGGAGGAGGATATGCAAGTATGCATACCTAATGTGAAATTAAGATGTTCTTTAGGATTGACCTCCTTTAGCTTGAAGCTAGCCTTGTTCTATTCTAAATGGTAATTTCTCCTTCCTTTGGGTGGAAGGGACCGGAACCTTTTCCGTTAACTTCACAGAGACTTCCATGGGCAGATAGAGGGTAGCAAGTGGATGTTTTAAGGAAGGGGCAAAAGGATAAGGATAAGATGGGAGACAACGCACAACACCACGCCCACACATCTGAAGAAAAAGGGGTCATCTGTGCATTGAAATGTCTTCTCATTATGTCTCTTATTGACTAGAAAAAGAGACATAGTTGCAGACCCTCTTACTATCGATATCTGCAGTTAGGTGAGACACAAGCCACCTCTGTGACCAAAGTAACCCTTCAGAAGGAAGTCTGCAATGCGCACTCAAGCCCTGCAGATTGAAGACTCTTGTGTGCATCAGGAAAAAGCTCTTGAACTGGCACACAGACTAATGACTGTAGAAATGTTAGAGCTGAGAGAGAAGAGACAGTATAGAGTGATGTGAACTGCAGTAGGCAAGACATGCCCTGTTAACCTTTAGCTTGTGCTGGTGACCAGAATTTGCTGTATAAGATGAAGAGTCAAGAAAAGATCCTTTCCTTGTTGCGTTTCAGGAATTCAATGTCTAAGGAAGAATAAAGCAACCCAATAAGTAAAGCAGATCTCTGTTCAGCATCTTGCCTGAACTTATGAATGAAGTGTGAAGGTTCTGGAGAAGCCTGAAGACGGGAGGATGTACTACTAGTCAGGCAGTATACAAGGTAGATTTGAATAACAGAATTTGCTGTTGGGTTACAAGGAAATAAGGATGTAGGAGATAAGGAAGTGGAGAGATTTTAACTATACTTGAAGAATCCAGGTCAAGGGAAAAAAGTCAAAAATAGCATGTGATGGGAAGAGGGATATGGTGGCAAAAAACTGTGAGGGAAGTAGGTTACATGTAACACAATTCCACGGGGACTTCTGTAGCAACTTGTTTTATTTCATTTTCTGCTTTCTAGTAGTACCGTTGTTGGCTTAGTTGTTGAGTCGGAAAACTTTGCTAGGTGCATATATGAAGGGGAACATGCATAAATTAGGATCTAATCAATGTGAAAAGAAGTGTGCTCACTTGGTTAAGCAGGGAACTGAATTCCCTCAGCTCTTCCACTGACTCATCAAGCTTCAAGGGCTGGCCAGAGTAATACTGATTCCTGTTTTACCCCCAGTGTGGGGTAGGGAAGCTGTACTAACACCTGAAGTGCACTTTGGCACAAAACAGCTGTCTCGTATCTCGCTTCTAGCCAAACACTTGATTCAGTATGCATTTACTCACCATGTATCTTTTTTCTTTTTCTTCCAGTTACTATTTCTTCAACTGCAGAAAAAGGTAAATTTTTAATTTTTAAAGGTGTGAATAGTTTTGTTGCACACAAGTCTTAAGGCACATAGAAGTTAAATATACTCCTTTGTATGTAAGCTCTGTAGCAAGTAGATTACTGCTAAGAATCAAGGTAAATATTGTGAGGTTGAGTCTGGTTAGCTTCTAGTACCCCAAGCTTGGGATAATGACAAGCCCTGTGAGTCTGTGATCTAGGTTTGCAAATACTTTTAAATGAGTACCTTCTAAGAACAGAAAAAGGATAAGAGAGAAGGAACTGCAGCAGATCCACAAGTCCATTTTCTGTTTATTTCTGAACACACCCTGTGACCTGAAATACTTACGGAAGAGGAAGAATTGTTGTTCTGCAGTTTGCTATTTTCCGAACAGCTTACCAGATTCCTAAGAGCCCCATTCTTTAGGACTGGTTGGAACTGTGCAGAACACAACCATTTCAAAGGTGGCTGCACATTATAATTTTAAATTGTTGATGGTTAAGGCCTGTTTTGACAAACTGTACTTAAGTCTTCATATTGGCTTTGGCATGTATGTGCCACAGTGTGTAGTACTTAGAGGTACAAACTGACCAAAAAGATTCCAGCATTCTTTCTGTGCCACTTCTTTTAACTGTGAATTGAAAACTAGTATAAAGGGTGATTCCATTCCAGAAGTTCAAAATATGTCTGTTTTTTGTATAAAACTTACTTTCATTTTCCTGTAGAAATACAAGTTATTGATGAGGTATTTGTTTGGGAGTTCATTTCAGCTTATGGGAGGGGGAGGTACGCGGGTGGTAAATTAGGCATAGATATGCATTTTAACTGTCTGCAGAGGGTTGTCTTCAGAGTGTCAGATGACTTGTAAGAGGCTCTCATCTCTTAAATGTTTTAGCAGAAGAGCACAGAATTTGAAGGTAGTCTAGCAGTGTTCTTCCTGGTGGGGAACATCCAGGAGAACACTGAAAGGAAGGAACCTTGTGGGAATCTGTCCTGTTCCTGTTACTTCTTCATTAGAAGATGAGAGGGAAAATCTCCAAAGTAAACTGCAAGTTGTTCAATGGGAGCTGTGTCTTCCTCTGGATTTTTATATCCCATTACACAGCTGGGCTTTACCTACTTAAAAAATTCTGCAAATTCTGCTATGCTTTCCTGTTGACCTGTATTATGAGTAAGCTTTACTTTCTAGTTTCTTCTGGAAAGACAAGTTTCACATCTCACAGTATCACAGTATGTTAGGGATTGGAAGGGACCTCGAAAGATCATCTAGTCCAATCCCCCTGCTGGAGCAGGAACACCTAGATAATGTTACACAGGAATGTGTCCAGGCGGGTTTTGAATGTCTCCAGGGAAGGAGACTCCACAACCTCCCTGGGCAGCCTGTTCCAGTGTTCCGTCACCCTCACTGAGAAGAAGTTTCTTCTCAAGTTTAAGTGGAACCTCTTGTGTTAATCTCAGTTAAGGAAACGTGACAGAGCAGTGATGTTGGTGTTGCATAGTCAGATCTCTGGCTTTAATACCATTGTGGTGCATGTCTGACTGAAACAGGTGCTCTTAAACCTACCAGAGAAGAAAAGTGCCTGAGTAATTAAAGAGATTGACAGGATCACTGGAACCTGACTGTGAGGCTTTTAACAGCTGTCACCTGCACGCTTCTTGCACCTTCAATTCTAAAGCATGTCACAGGCATCCTGTATGCGTGAATTTCTTTATTGAAATATTGAGGTTGATCTTAAAATGAGTTGTAAAGTCTTTTTTTCATTTGAAATGAAAGCTGTAGTAAGTTTTATGAAGTTCTGATAAGCTAAATCATAATAGCCAGGAAATAACATCAGAAGGGTCAAAAGGCCAACCTACCAGTAACATTGCTGTGTAAATCAATAATGTGCATCTTAGCAAATATATTTTGCTTCATATTTCAGTGTACTGTGTTCAAATTCTTTTATTTCCAGTAATTAATTGAAACTTTTGATTAAATGAGTGGCAATTTATTTACACCATTAAAGCTATTTCTTTGTAATTTCATATTCTTGTCTAGGTTTATATTCATTAGGATAGAGGAATAAATTCAACTCTGCATCTCTCTTAACAATATAATATACTTCTGTTACATATCTTTCTGCAATCTGACTGTCTTGGATGTAGTATTAAGAATGATTCAGAGAAGAATGTTAATAGCATATCTTAGGAGGGGTTAGCATAGTTTAGGAGGATTCTAAGAGCATGTCTTAAGACATTGTCCTCTTGAGGGCATAAATTATGGTCTGATATGCATCAGTGCTTTAAAGAGAAGTGACTTCATTTGGTCACAGCATGGCACCAAGAATCCTGGATTCCCTTAGCTTTGCCAGGATTTCCTCATGACTCTGGCTAAACTGGCCAGTACTGAGGTTTGAGGGTTTTGAGGTGTTTTCTGTGTAGCTTTCTACTTACAAGAAAATGAGCTGAATAGGAGTGAGGCTGGTTTATATTTGTACTGGAAATTGATCCAAGATGCTTCAGAGATGCTGCAGAGGAGATAGGGCTACCCATAATGGTGGGTAGATGAACTGCCAAAGTAAACTAAAGCTGTCAAAAATGGTGTCTTCCCTCCCTCTCTTTTCTTGGGGAGCACTGTAATCAGGTATCTGTGCTGATACTTGTAATCACAGTAGGAATGGCAGTACAGGAGTGGGGAAAAAAAGCAAGAATTTATTCAGTGGAGGGCCAGTATGGACTGCCAATTGCAGGCTCTTCTGTTCCAGACTGAGGGATGCCCATCACTGGAACAGCCATGAAATTCTCACCTCAAGTTGCTCCAGTTTGGCTACTGAGGACAAGCCATTTTAGTGGCTTTTAATGACAGCGACAGATTGCAAGTTCTCAGTTATTGCAAGAGTGCAAAAGCACTGTAACAGCTGCCTCTTTCTAGTAAATATTGATAACATTGGCACAGTTCTGTACCCTTGCTTGCAACCAGCATTGGTGCTTGTTATTCATGCTGTTGTTGGGGCATTTACAGCCTGCAACAAGACTGCAACAAGAAGTTTGAAGGATTGTGTGTGCTCTAAAAATAATCTTTCAAAATAATCTGAATTGTGGGGTGATTTTTATGGATGGAATGGAACTGTTTACTCTGTAAGTTTGTTTTGCTGTGCCCTGCATCTCATTTCCTTTTTCCTTCTATTCAACTCCTCTCACCCTCTTATCCCCCAAAGCTCCTATCTGTGCATCTGATGCCACTCCAGTTTTGTGTCTTTCTCCTCTTTCCAAACCATTCTCTCACTCTTTGATTGCTTGACCAAATTACGTTCGTATGTTTTTAATAAAAGACAGTTTCTAATTATGCAGTGCCTACTACAGTGATACACAAGTTCTTTCCCATCAGGATGACAGTTTTAGGATAGCCTTTGAAAAAGGCTTTGCTTTTTGCTTTTTCGATCAGCTCCAAAGTTGAAAATTTGTCAAATCTGGCTGTAAGGTTGGAGGAGTTGGAGGCAAAGGTAAAAAGCATAATTCTCTGAAGAAAGCTGAAATTAAGTTTGTTTTCAGTGTAACAAGCAATGAAAACCCTGAAAGATAAGTTAAGACCATGTCTTCTGTGACTGCACAAACATTTCCTGAGCTGTTGGAAGTTCTCAAAGATTCTAGCCTGTTTTACCATCCATGAAGTACATCATGCAGCTTAAAGGAGTGTTTTTATGTGCACAGGAAAGTAGGTCAAGTTTCCTTCTTCCTGGAACTGAAGATAATATAAGTGAAGATAATGTAAATATTTACTATGACTTCTTTTCTATGGCTTGCTGTTCTGGCACAACTGATCTGTTTCCTCTTTACAAGTGGTAAAATAAACTGTTAGAGGAAACAAGATTGGAAGAAACTTCCTGGGTCTTAAGGTCTGTTTCTGGCCTTTAAGGCAACCGTATCACACAGACCAATTCATAAATTGATTGAGCTCTCTAGTAGAGCTACCTACATTTTGTTGCCACATGACTGTAATAGCAGAACTCTTCCAACTTATATTCCTGTGATGATTTGAAAGATAATCAGGCAGTTTTTAACTCACAGCTAGCTCTCATCTTGGAGTGCTGTCCTCTCCAAACCTGTACTTCGGGGTTTTTATTGTCATTGGTGATCAATGTCTTCTAAAATGGCACAGTGCTGCACTGTTTCTGTTAGAAGTAGAAAATAAATTGAATTCTATAGGTCAGTTATCAGATAATTTAGAACAGAATTGTAGCATCTTCTTTATCCAAGAAGGTTAGTCACATGCCACAAGTGAAGCTGTGTTCAGGTTTTTGTTTTTGGGGTGGGGTGGTTTTTTTCCTTCAAAGTCTGTTTTGGAATTATAGATAAGAGCATATTATTTCCTTGAGGAATAACAGCCATCACGCTTGGGTTTTTTTTTTGCTGTTTTTTTTTTCTGTTTTTTTAAATGAGCACTCCTAAAGCACTAAATCTATTCAGGGGAAAGGGTTTAATATAATTTTATCAGGTGATTCATACTGTAATAGTTTAGCCCTCATCAGAGATCAGTGATTTTAGTTCTTGTTCTTTTCAGCTTTACTTACCAAACTCTTTATTTGTATTTTATTGCAGCTGTCTACCTTGTGATTTTTCATCTGTCATTTTTCATGTTTGTATGGTCTTACTGGAAGACAATTTTCACATCTCCTGCATCCCCCTCTAAAGAGGTAAATATAACCTCAGAAAAATGTCAATGCCTTTTTTTATAAATAGCTGAACTCTTTTCAGTGATGAAATTTGTTTGCAGTGCTGCATGATTCACCTTTCCTTTCTCATTATCGGAAATAGAACAGCATGACAGTGTATCATGAATAAAAATGATCAAGTGACTCTTAAAATACCGTATACTTTGTGTAATGACATTTCCTCATACAAAACATGCACTTAATTAATTACAAGTTTGACAGTCATGTACAGTGCTTTGCTCTGAAGTAGTTTGCTTGAAACTTGGAATTTTTAAAACCAAATGAAATGACAACATTTTTATATTTCCCTTTTAGCCAGTTTTGACCTTTGTTTTGATTAGAGAAAGTACGTATGCAGTGTATAGTCATAACTTGGAGGACTGAACAACTTAGTAAGTCAAGGGTTAAGGTTTAAGGACAATTGAGAAGTGAATACATGAAGGAGCTTTATATAATGGCAGAAGACCATAGAAGTTTTGGTTTGAAAAAAGAGTGTTAATTGCAATAAGCCTGAGATGGGTTGCCTTGTTTTCTGTTTTCTCTGAGGTGTGTGTATGTAAGGATTAAATATTGGCACCCTAAATTTACAATGTTTCCTTTTCCTTCCTTGGTCTTACAAAGCTTTTAAATTGGCTAAACTATTTGAGGCTTTGGTTACTCTATGGGGGTTGAATTTTTATTCTATTTTTGGCAAGGCTGACTTTCAGTGCTAGTGCCAACCTTAAATGCTTTTGAGAAGAGTTTAAACCATGCTTCTAAGGAAAAGCAAACACTGCTCCACAGTGCTTAATTATGGCTTAGAGATCTGCTTCTTAAGCTACAGAATACAAAGTGAAAAGACCTGAAGACTGTTCTGCTATTTAACTAAGCAAAAAGAGTGAATGAACCTGGTCAGGGGTCTAGAACACAAGTCCTATGAGTAGCAGCTGAGGGAACTGGGATTGTTTGAAGAAAAGGAGGCTCGGGGGAAACCTTATCACTCTCTTACAGCTACCTGAAAGGAGGTTGTAGTGAGGTGGGTGTTCATCTGTTCTCCCAAGAAACAAGCAATAGGACAAGAAGAAATGCTCTGAAATTGCACCAGGGAGAGTTCCAAATGTGATTGGAACTGTGTTACTCTAGGTTTTGTAAAGCTGTATGAACTAGAACTGATCATAAACCTAATACCTAGCAACTTGTACTGTCTGCTTGGATTCTTCAGTAATAGAAGATTTCTTCTGATAGTACTTATTCTGTAGTTACAATGATTGTTGTAGCATACTTTTCATATTCAGTGAGTGAAAGGAATGGTTTGGGCATTTGGCATGTAATGAATGTTTCCTATAGCAAGTGTAGAGGTAAATCAGATTGAATACAATTTTCTACAGTTATCTTAAAAAACTGTGAGGAAGGAGGAACCAAACAACAAGAAGCAAAAAAACACACATTAAAAACAAAACATAAAAAACCACCAAACTAAAAAAACTACCGGCCCTTTTTTCGAGGCAAGACCCTTCTGTTCTTGTAGCAGTGAGTAATTTATGTTGGTTACACTTAAAAACAAAGCCTGACTTCAGAATCTCCCTATTGTATGACAGCATAAATGTATATATTTTTAGTCATTCAAATTAGCCATTCTTGCAAAACAAACAGCATCCTGTGATCTTACTATTGAACTAAAAAAAGATTCTGCAGCTGCTGTTGTTTTAGTGTAATCCCTGTACATTTGTCATAATAAAGAACAATCAACATTTCACAAGATGTAGAAAGAGGAAGGAAACAAAGGGACTCTTTCTGTTTTCAATAAGAGCTGCTGGAACCTCATTGAAAATCCTGTCTGTGGTAACAGACAGCTTTTGATGTCTGTGAACATATCCTGCTATTGTCCAAAGAGACTGTAGTCTCATGGCCCTATGAATTTCTGAAATTAGAACAGAAATATAGTTCTTTGGAAAACCAAAATCCTATCCAGGATTTTTGGAGTAATATTATGATTATGATGTTACTTGAAGAAATTAAAAAGTTTTAAATACTGTGATTTCATTCCTTTTCTGTGCTTTAAAGGTTTGCCATAGAAATGTGGTTTAGAAGCAGTATTTCATCTTTAATACAGCCTGGGCTTGACTGCAGGTCATGGAGACAGGCAATGGGTCACCTAGCAGACTCACAAGGGGAGTGGGGAGGAGGGAATATAGCACCACTGTTTGCTGGCATGCTGCTTCATATCTGCCTTAAACTTTTGATGTAAGCATATTCAGTTTTCATATTTGAGTAACCATCTGTCTTGGATATTACAGTTAAAAAATTAGGTCAGACTCTTGGTTAAATTTTAATTTCACCCTTCACGTAGATCAGTCCTAGTTTCTGATCATTTATAAGGGGATTGTGGTTCATGTTTCACCTTTGAATGGTGGTAAGGCTCAATAACTGGGATGCTGCTGTATGGAACAGGAGGCTTAACGAGATTCTGTAAAATATAAGGCAACTTGTTTGCATTCTGGGTAATGAAATAATAGAGAAATTCAGCAATGTCTTACTGCTTCTTCCTTTCTGTAAGTGGAGTCTTCGCTATTGCTTGCCAACTGACTGTAATCCAGAAGAGGAAGAAGTACAAGATGAGAGGAAAATCCATGTGAACTAATCATATACATGTTCTTGGTAGGAAAATATAGTTGTATTAAACCACACTAAGACAATCTTTGTTCCAGCTGCACACACAGGATTTTCCACTCACTTCCATGAATACTTTGTCTGTGTGTTCATAAAAAGAGTTCTTGTAGTCCATGCAGGAAGCTCAGAGTTTAAAAGTGCTTCAGAAGAGAAAAATACAAAGGAGCTAGTGAGTTCAGGCCCCACTCTGCTGAGGCTTGTCAGCACATGGGGTTTTGTGGAGCTTAATGGTAAAGCCCACAATTTCAGTGAATACCAAAGTGTTTTTACAAGTGAGTAAAAGCTCTCCAGCTTCTTCTGATAAAGCTCTACATTTCAGTGAGGCTTTAACAGGAATGTTCCTCATGCTTTACTCAGAATTGGAAGTTTTTCAAACTGTACAGACTTTGGAGAAGTTGCTTTCAATACAGCTCCTGGATTTTGCTGACTACAAAAGTAGAAGTTGTAATGCTGACAGCACCCAAGTAAAATCCCAGCTAAACACTTTCAGTTTCTGTGCTTGAAGCCATGAGGCTGCCCTCTGCCCCACCATGTTCTTGCCCTCTCTGGCTTGTACCCCTCTCTAAGAGAAAGAGGGATAAGAGAACTTTAGTTCCCTGTAGGAACAAAGGAATATTGCATCTTTCTCTTGTTCACAGATCACTTAATTTATGCTTATCAGGAATTAAGGTTGCGCCTTTTTGAAACTCACCATGAGTCTCTACCTTCGTTTGTGTTGAAGGGAAAATGCTGTAGATAATGGAACAGAGATAAAGATTATTTTCTCTAAAATCTGCCCAGGGCTATTGTGGAGTTTTAAGGATCTCTTGTAATTTCTGTAGCAGTCTTCTTTTTTGTATGTGGGGTTTTTTGGTCAGTGGGTGGGGGTTGTCCAAAGACCTAGGAATAAGATACACAGGGTCTTTTCCTTGGAGCATGACTGGAAGACAAAGTAACAAATAATTTCTTCCCATTGATCCATTTTCTCCCTCCCTCCTAGTTCTGCTTGTCAAAAGCTGATAAAGAACAATATGAAAAAGAAGAGAGACCAGAATACCAGCAGGAGATTTTGAGAAGAGCTGCTAAAGATTTGCCTATCTACACGACAACAGCATCGAAAGGTGAGATTAAGATAATTCTGTGCTCCTGAAGCTGCTCGTTTAATTCAGTGAAATTCATTTGATGTCACTGAATGAACAATCTATTAAGCACATATTGAAAGGCCATGACCTTGTTTTGTTATTTGTTTGGACTGGGCTTTTTTTCCCCCAGGAGAAACTGGAGTCCTTTGTCTCGGGATCTCAATATGGAGCTGCTCTTTAGAATAATTATAAGTTTGAAAAAAATCCATTTCTAGCAAGCAGATAGATGATAACATTTATCTCTAATTATAGCTATAAAAATAAACACAACAAAGAAATACAGTTAAATCAGCTAGAAATAGAGAAAATTAAACTTTTTACTCAATTTTATAATCATTAATATCCCCCTTTTAAACTTCTTTTTATGAGTGGTTCAGTAGTTCAGCAAGAGGAGAAACATCATACCTAAGGCTAGAACTTAAGAACGAATAAATGTTATTCCATTTCCATCTGTAATTCAGTACAAAGCTAGTTATAGGCTATTTCTGTATTTGCTTTTAATATGTATAGGCATTTTGATTCCAACTTGTATATGAATGATCTGTGAAACTGCTGTCTTATGCATATGTATATTCTTTAAAAAAAAATTAATCTTTTATATGTATATAAATCTGTTTTGCTTTCTTGAAACGAAGAACCCTGTATAGTTTTCCAAAAACATAAACTCCTCAGAATAACTGTTCCAAAGTTGTGACTTTCCAAAGTCTAAGGACGCCTGGCTTTTTTGAATTTAAGCCTCCCTTTAAGGGAATCCCAGTCTAAGTTCCTCAAGTGGTCTGGAAAGCTCTTGCCAGCTCTTAGCAGTTCTGCGTAGTTGTAGGTGTTGGCTTTCCTCCCCCTTTCAAACTGCCTGTGCTGGTGTCTTGTTTCCATTGAGAAGAGCCTGAAGGCTTGTTTAAAAATATCCAGGAAAGATGAGGAAGAGCTGATTTACTGAACAGTCTGCTAGATCACTCTGCGGTGAAGAGGATAGAGAAAGCTAATGCAGAAAGTTGGCTTGATGAAAGAACATGTTGTCACAATAGGATGTTGGAGTAACCTGTCCAGAGGTGAAAGCAAGCAGGCCATAGGGTATCAGTGCCAGAGGATGAAGGATGGGAAGACTGAGAAGCCAAAGAGTAAATGGACTCAGTACAGTAGTAATAGATTGAAGTGTTTAAAATACTTTCATATGTTACATTTCTTTAAAAAAAAATCAGGAGTACACATATGAGAGTAGGCACATGAAGGCCTGTGAGAACAGGTGTGGTAGGGGAGGGCAGGGAGCTCTTTAAGATTCAGTTCATGTTAAGGGAGAAAACCTTTGTAAAATTAAATGAGTTCTAATGACTTGACCCTTGCCACTTAAATGCAGCAATCAGATACTGTGATCGATGCCAGCTAATCAAACCTGACCGCTGCCACCACTGTTCCGCATGTGACATGTAAGTTACTGTATCTAAAATGATGGGGTTTTGTCTTTCCTGTGATCGTTTCAGTGTGTTCATGTCTTTGGTGTGTCAGCCCCTGCACAACAGATTTTACTATTGTTCCTCTTTCAGATCCTAACTACTTGGATTTCATGAAAGAGCAAAGTTCCTCCTGTTGGTGTAATATTCTTATTGCTGCCCCATTGTCCAAAGTGGCAGAACTTTCTAGGAAACCTGCTTGAGGCTTTGTAAAATAGTGCTTATATTAATAAATAAATAAAGTAAAAATCAGCAATTGAAAACAAGGAAAGGCAGGTCCAAGATAACCAGCACCAGCAAATGCTTATAGAACTATTATATCTTGATTTTTTTTCAGTGTTGAAACAGATGTGTGCTATTAATAATGCTAAAAATCTTAGAGATTGACAGTGGAATTGCATCCCTTAACCATTTCAAAGACATCCCTGCTATTCCCTAGCTTGATTCTGAATCATCAGACAAGTCTGAGGGCACTGAAGACGGAAGCTATGAGTGAGACTTCAGTAGGTTGAGCTTGAGGAAACGTAGTTAACTGAAGAACCTAATACATGTCTTTTGGCTAAAATCTTATTTATTAGCAAATACGGTGAATGTGTCTGTGTGTCTGAAATGTCTAGTGTCTCTCCTTACAATAGAACTGGACGGAAATGACATGTGACTGTTCACATTACCCACTGTGCTGCTCTTTTCCTCAATTAGCTTTAAACAAGCAAGGAGAAAACAAAAAACGGTAGTAAAAATAACCCGAAGGTAGACTTAGTTGGAGTGAATGCCAGGCTAACATACTTTACCCACACAATACTGAGGGGTCCTTACAGATTTGTTTTGTCTCAATGCACACATAAAACTAGGGTGGCTTAATGAATTATTATGTAGTGTTGCTCAGCAATGCTTCCTCTGTTAATTTAAGAGACTGTTCATAATTTCGCTGAATCTCACTCGGTCTTTTTGTGTGGAAGGACGGCTGCTATAGTACAGAGAATTGGCATGATTGAGAAGGATTTGAAAAAGATACAGTGGGGCAGAGTACTTTAAAGAACAAACAAGTAAACAAAAGAAAAAGAAAACAGAAAACCCAACTCCTCTCCCCTCAACCCCCAGCCTGCAGAAGCGAGAAGTATGTGCCTTAGAAAGAAAATGTATTTTTTGCTTTAACTTGCTGGAAATTCTCTTTCAGATGTGTACTAAAAATGGACCACCACTGTCCATGGTAAGTTTAAAAAAAAATAAAAATCAGTAATAATAATGAATTAGATCCTGCATGAGTTAGATGCTGCTTCAAAAATGCAACTTTGAAGTAAAACTTGATTTTTTTCACATAACTTCTTGAGGCTTTAATATGTGAAAATAAATCTTGCTCCTGATCTGTTGAAACATATTGTTGCAGGCCCAGTACCCCAAACCATGCAATTTCTCTTCATATAGAGAAACCCTAGTTAGTGAGACCTGAGATAAGTGGCATTTCTTCCTTTTGTTTACTTTGGTATTGTTACCAGGAGAAGAGACACCCACTACACTGTGAAAATAAGTTCTCAATTCTGGATGATACATAAGACCCACTCAGACAATTACTCTTCTGCAGTTTGTATTTATTGGTAGTCAGTAAAAATATTACTTGCTGTCGCTGTAAGAATACTCTATCAGTAGTTGACTTCTAGGTGGTTTTGTAACCACTGAAATTGGAGAGGCTCATATCATCTTCCATTTTGGCTATAGTTAGTTCATAGTGTGTGAGATGCTTCCTATACAGAATGTATGTATCATATGCTTTGCCAGCTCGTGTCATGTCCTGTAGAACTTCTTGGGGGACAAAATTTATGTGAAGGGCCCACATCATTTGGCCTGCGGAAGAACTTTATTCAAAATGGTGGCTTAAAATGCTTCTGTAACACTAGTGCCAGACTGCTTTGGACGTACCACTGGCGTCATACACATTATGCTCTCTAAAAGCTGAATGTATTGGGTTTTGGGGGGTTTTTTGTTTTGGGTGTTGTTTTTTTTTAATGTCATAGTAACCTCTTTCTCTTTCCCCTCCTTCTAGGGTGAATAATTGTGTGGGATTTTCTAACTACAAATTCTTCCTCCTGTTTTTAATGTATTCCTTACTGTACTGTCTGTTTGTTGCTGCTACAGTCTTGCAGTACTTCATAAAGTTTTGGACAGTAAGTTCTAAGGCTTTTTTTTGTTCTTCATTTGTTTAATTCTGGATGTGTTATTGGAAGCTGTATCAGCATGTTGTCACTCACCATTTACTCTGTTCCATAGTTCATTGCCATTAACAGCATCAATCAAAGAAGCAGGAGAACCTTCTGAATCTTAATGAATTAAATATATTACACTGCCCAGGATGAGTAATAGGAGGAAGGAGTTCTGATGAGGACACTGCAATTTCTCTGCTCCATCAAAATCGAATAGCACAGCTCAGGTTATTTTGAGACTATCGGATACAGATACGTAGGTATAGAAAGAACTGGCTGCATTAAGTACAATATATAGAATCGTGTGTGTCTCTGTATACACACACATGTGTATAAAAAATAGTGAGAAATGTGAAATATAAATAAAAGTTTTGTATCTTCCTAGACTTGTCTATGGATAATCTGCTACCAGATAAGGCAGATTAATTTCTTGGGAACTGACCAAGCTCTGTTTTGGAGTCCCTGTATAGGCATGTCTGAACTTCATACTAGTAGTTTTTGTCAGTCTAATATGGGTAGAATGCTAAGGTACGTATACAGTGTGAATGATATACATCTCCCTTGCAACTATAGTCAGTTGTCAAATGATTGATACCATACACACATCTTAGCAGATTTAATAACATCCATGTGAAGAGCAACCGTTCTTGTATGTCTGTGTTGTATTCCCCCTATCAATTTTGTTCCAGTCCCATTCCAGGCTAAACGGAGTGTCTTCTGGTGGTGGTCTCTTTCATCTCCAAAAGTTTGTGATTCTTTCTGTCTCTAGGCAGAAGAGCAGGTGATGGAATTCCTTTAATCAGTTTCCACTAGCTAGCATGGGAAAAGTCATTGTAAGTGAAAGGCTCTCCATCACATCTTTATGAGTAAATAACAGCACTTAGATGTTGTTCCTGTCAGTAACTGGGAAAAGCAGTCATTATCCATAGCTGTAGAAGGAATATTGGAGCAAAAAGATGTTGCCATGTTCAGGGTAAGAGAAGCTTGATCATGTACTCAGAATAGCTGTATTTTGAGACAGTTTGCATTAGACAGGTAGGATAAATGGTGCAAAAAGAATGTTTATGTTCACCTAAGCCTATGGGTCTTACCTGCCAAAGTACTATGTTTCTTTAAGTCTGTCAGTCTGTGTAGCAGCCTGTCACTAGAGAGCAAGGAACTATTTGGTAATTGAGCTGTCAGTATTGTGTGAGATGAAAGCCATGAGTGTATTTATCAGTCCTAGCTGTGGCTTGACAAATATTTCAAATGAAATGGTCTGATTCTGCTGTTTAGTCTTATGTGACTGTAAATAGATAAATTTTTAATTTGTGAATGTGCCATTCCCGAATCTGCCTGGCTGCTTTCCAGCACATGGTGTGCAATGTCTGATGAATCTGTAGATGTGCTCTTACATATTTACTGGTCAGTGCTTGAGGGTAAAAAAAAAAGGAATTTACTTTTTCATCTCACTTCATAAGTATTAGTGCAACAGAAGTCTGCAGGACATCTGACCACAATGAACATTTAATGGCATTTGTAGCAAGGCTTTTCCAAAGCCCATCAGACTGAATACTGAAGTAGACCCTTCAGCAGAGGGTGTAAACTTAAGAGGGATTTTTTTTCTCTCTCTCTTTGGTAATGAGTTAGTTGCTAAAAATGCATTCCTGCAACAGTGGGCTACTTTTGAAATGTGAGCATAAACAATGTAGTCATGTGCTTGCACTTGTTGCATTTGCTTTTGGGTATTTCCCAGACAGAACTTGGTGATGCCATGGTCTTACCATTAGAGTAGATCTCTGAATCACTGTACTCATATTAAATCAGTTAATTCACAAAGCTAATATTCCTCTGATTTTTAAAATAGCCTGATTGAAGTAGACTTCCAGAAAGAGGTGGCAGCACCATAATTGTGTAGGCTTGCAAAATTTACTATGTCTCTAATATGTAAGCTTTTAGGCAATTTCTTTTGACTGCAGAATAGAGTCCTGTAAGCTTCTCTCTACATCTGTATCCAGACTGGAGTGGAGTACTGCTGACATGTGCTGTCTGTAGACTGCTTCAACATATTGCAAATGCTCAGCTTTGTCTGATACAGCATCAGACAGATTACTGTTTTGACATTTTCTGTTGAGGCTCTCTAGATGTTGGTTTTGTCCCCTCAAAGCTTGACAGAAATGTTACAGTATGGCTTCAAACGGCAAATGTTCAAACAGCTTCAAACGGCAGTGTTTCTTTTTCTTTTTTTTGCTTCCTCACTTATGTTACTCAAATCATCATATATACTACTGTATATATCCAGTGTTGGGATGGAAGATGAATTGCTTTTTTGGGGGAGCGTATCCTTGGGCGCTTCAGACCTTGTAATAGTGAGGTTGTGAAGGTGTACATGCTAACAACACATTTTAGCAATCCAGTTTTTGTGCTATGGATAATACTTGCATGGAGACACAGCACATATGCAGATACTTGCAAACCTTGTGAGATATGCACACTTACCCAACTCTTCTGTTGAAGAGAGTCTTCTTGTTTCCCACTTATACATGCAAGACATCTATACTCATGCTCTCTACAGAAGTGCTGAAGAAAGATCTTGATACTGTTCATACAGTGATGGAACAACTACACTGGCTGTAAATGTTTACTACAGGCTTACTGATGTGGATGTTAAAATCTGTTTTATAGATTAAGGGAATATGAACTACTCTTTTTTTCACACTGATAACTACTTTTCCTATACACATAATGTTTTTATTTCTACCTAGGAAGTTGTTAAAGATGAACAGATAAAACCTCAGTTCAACCAAATGTATTTGAAATAAACACGAGCACTGGCTGAATGCCCAGTCCTTGATGCCTTGTTTACATAGTGCATGGTGGTACTTCCCAGTGTATATTTCTGTCTATTCTCATTCTTGCTGCACTCCCTCCCCCTTGAAAACCCTATGTTTTCCAGCTGTTTTCAGTGTCTTTCATTGTCCTCCAAATTATTTTGGTAGTCCTGAGTAGAGCTAATTCAGGGATGTGATAATGTGTTCTGGGTAGATGGCGCGTGCTTCTGCAAAACTTCAGTTGTATTAACAAAACAAAAAAAAAGGAGATTCCAGATCCTTAGTGAGAGCTCATTCCTCTTGCATGTACCCATAAAGACAAATACCAGATCTTTTGACATTTTTTGAGATCTAAGTTAGATCTAGCTACTAAAAAATGAGCAATCAGTCAAGCTTTAACAGCATGTTTTTTATTGTGGAATTTGTTTGAGGTTTTTTGTGACCTTGGTACATGCTCAAATGACTCTATGCTTTTGAAGGAGTTTGTAACGGGACTCTTTATAATAGTGACTGGCTTCAGTTTATTATGTTTGCTAAGTAGCCTACATTTTGTTGTGCAAATTGCTTCCTTTTCTAAGCTCCACAACTCTCTCACCTGCAAGACTCTGCTTCTGTACTGCTGAGCATAATGTTTTTATGTAACAAATGTTTGAAGTTTCACTCTCTTTTTAACGTGCTGTGGCTGCTAGAACACAACAGTGAATAAGCTTGTTATATACACTCAAAGCCTGCATGCTTCTCTCCAGGAAGGAATTAGCCTTTTTTTGAAAGATGCTTCAGTTCTGCAGCTGTCATTCAAGAATTTACAACCAGTGGCTGAAACTGGGTAGTCAGAAGATGTGAATGCTCCCTGGAGATCATGCAGATTAATAATGGGTAATCAAAAAAAATCCCTCTCTGGTTATAAAGCCACTGTTTAGGAAGATGCAGCTGGAAGTAAACCTGTATTTTCTGGCCCACAGAAAACACAAAGGCTAAGCTGGTACTGATATTAGAGTTTCAAAATGAAGAATTGGCCTGAGAATTCTTTATCGAGAACCATTTTGTTTAAATATGCAATTCCAAAAGAGTCACAGAAGTAGAGCTTACAAAAATGAATTAGGAAACTGGGGAATAATGCAGTGTGCTCTGAGGTAGGAGGAGTTATCATAGCTTTAACATGAAGCTTAGGAATAAGTGGCAATTTGAATATGTGTTTTGATAGCTTTGATTTCAATGGATCACGAAATACAACACATCCCTACAGCAGAGGGAAGAGGGACTGTTGCACAGACTGTCAAAGCAAAACTGTATCAGTGAAAAGGCAGTAAATAAGGAAACTGAATTTAGCTGGCAGTTCAAAGAGCTGGACTGTGTTATCATTTTCTTACTGTAGCATGATCTGATGTTAGCCAGCATTTTATAAATGCTGGGTGTATCTGCCTGACTCCACGGTAAATCCCAGGGCTCTTCCCTAGGCATTCTGTGCAGATTAGTGTAACTTAAAAGCCATACGTCTTGCCTACAACAGAGTCATTAAGCTCTAGCATCTGAGCTGAGATGACGAATACCACTCTTCAGGTATAAAGCTTGGAATTTAAAAGCTAATTTAAGCTTTCCTGTTTATTTTCTTATGTACTGGTTCAATTTCAGATGTTACACTGAAGATACATCCCACAAAGATATTTCAGTACTTGGAAAGAAGAAAAACTGCACTGATGTACTGATAGGTTCTTTGTGCAAAGAATGGCAATTTTTTTTTTTATGGTTTTGACTGAAACTACATCTAATGGTAATAGATGTGTTCTGAAGTTAGAAAGGTTTTGTAATTTATAAGCAATTCTTTATACCTCTGGAGTATTCTGAGCTTTTCAGACCTTTCTGAATGGTTTCGTCATACAGAATATTCACATAAGCATTACTTGTGATTCAGAGAATACACCTGGTGTAGTCAGGCTGCTCAGGATGAGGAACCACTTGGAAGTGATCCAGAATAGCTGTACTACTATATTTCAGTAGCAGATTTTATGCTTTGGAAGTTAGTAGTGTGCTCTTATGTACTTTCTCCTCCATTCTCTAGGAGAACAAGGGCTCAGACTGCTGTTGGGTGTTAGAAATTGGCACAGCCGAGAGCACCAACCATTTTGTTCTTAACATAGCCTGTGCTGTTTTCAAACACTTTGTCTTAACATAATACTAGTGTTTAATAATTGTCTTTGTTTGCGCAAAGCTTTGCCACAGGAAAGCTGCAGAGAATTGTCCAAAGGTAAAATTCAATATTGCTGTAATTATTTAAATACTGTTCCTGCTGTAATTTTTCTAATGCAGTCTTCCATGGTAGTTATTTACACCATCAGAGAAAGAAGGAGACTTGTAATGTGTTTCCTGTGAATATAGGCAGTGTACAGGGATAAAGATAATGCCCATGTGCACTTGATCTTAATTGAAATGTCTTTTAGTCTAAAAGAAAAAAATCGGCATTAGATAAGTGGGTATACTGAATGAGCTAGTGGAAAAAGTAATGGCAATAATGGTATTTAAGCAGCTGAATTAAAATAGCCTCTCTGCTTTCATAGTGCTGTTAAAGGTCAGCTACTTAAAAGTTCTGTGATTTTGAGGATATAAAAGCAGAATAGTATTGTTACAAATCCCACTGGCCTCTTGAAAGTGCAAGCCTAAAAATACCTAGGCTAGGGGGTGGAATTGACTATCTGATATGGGTGGGAGGTTGTATTTTTTTTTTTTATCTGGTGGCTGTACTGAAATTGTTTTTCACATGTATCTTCTGGTGATTCATTTCTGCCTAGTCAGACATGGCAGATTGGTTTTGGTAGGCACATGCTGGTTATTGTTGAAATCTCAGAGATCATAAGAAATTGAAGATCTGTCCCATGTCTTGTCTCTAGTTGTTCAGTCTTAGAAAGACAGTATGACAGCCTTTCCCGTTTTATGTTCCTTGCAGCAGTTCAGAGGCAGGTCCTTTGCTGGGAAAGGATTTGGACATTTTTGTTGTATTTTCTTCCCTTCAAATAAAGTGATTTTGGACATGCTTTCTCTGTGTCTCTTTGGCTGTGGGTGGACAGTTAACATTTTTTTTAGTATAGGAATTTTTTTTTTTTCCCCTTGCTCCTTACTATGCATTTAAAAACTAAGACATGAACACAGGTACTCATGCTACTAAACTCAGGTTGAGGGGTACCCATCAGCTTTTGAAGCTGTTGTATACCAGCCTAGCATGACATGAAATGCAAGCTGGGCTTGTGCTTTTTTAACTTTGTGAAAAGTGAGGTGAAAGACCTATACCAGAATGGGTATGGCATAAAAATATTTAATGACAATGCTGCATTAGTTGCTAAGAAGTGTTTATGTATTAATCTCTTTCTCTCTTTCTTCCCAGAATGAATTGCCAGTTACCCATGCAAAATTCCACGTCCTTTTCCTTTTCTTTGTGGCAGCCATGTTCTTCATCAGCATACTGTCACTCTTCAGCTACCACTGCTGGCTAGTTGGCAAAAACAGATCAACCATAGGTCAGTTAATTTGAATGTGGAACTGTTCATTGTCCAGAAAAACAAGTCAGTGGGGATGTGAGGTCTACAGGATATGCCATCACATATAAACAGTTTTGTTAAGTATTGTGCAATAAAAAGCATATTCACTAAAAGTAATTTAAAGGAGAAACATACAGGGAAATGAAGCATGTATAAGGGTCCTCTGCTGGAGCCAAACATTCAGATTCATGATGAATGTTAATTTCTTCTGTTTGTACTTTGGAGATCTCTGAGGCACTGTGCATTTTTGTGTGTGTGTCTTTTTTTATAGTGATAACTGTATTGCCTAATTGTTACTTGTCAGTAACCCTCTTGTTTTAATACTTTGAGTAGCTGGGTGGCCCCACCCAGGGTAAAGGCTCTACTGTATATTAGCATGCTACGTTTTAAACTAGATCCAAAAGAGTATTCTAATCCTGTGAGAGAAAATGGACCCTATTAGGAAGTGGCTTGTAAAAGCAGTGTTATAAAAATGGAAACACTGATGCACACTTCCTAAATAATGAAAGATTCACATGTTTTCTATGCCTACATGTTTTAAGGGCTTTGACCAGCATAAGAAAGTTATGTGCATGAGTTGAAATATCTAAAGTTCTTGCTAAATCAATTTTTAAGTGTTTCTTTCGGGGGGTGGAGGGGATAGGGACTGGTGGGTATTTGCACAACTGAGTTAAATCAAAATCTTACACCTTTCAATGGAAGTCAAATTTCTAATCTCAAAAAGTAAGTGGGTTGGTTAAAAGCTGAAATAATTTTCAGCTTGCTAGAATTTTTTGATGGAGGAAGTGTTTTGATTGCTTGACAGGAAGGCTGTTTGAGTCCTTTCTCTTTTAACATATCTAGATTTAGGGAATATTCAGTCTCCTTTTCAGCTTTGAACAGAATTTTAGCATATTCCTTGCCTAAAAGTCACTGGTCACAGTTGGTAACCCAGTACTTTTATTTACTGCCTGGATCATAGAATCCTAGAATAGTTAGGGTTGGAAAGGACCTTAAGATCATCTAGTTCCAACACCCCTGCCATGGGCAGGGACACCTCACACTAAACCATATCACCCAAGGCCTCATTTAACCTGGTCTTGGACACTGCCAGGGATGGAGCATTCACAGCCTCCCTGGGCAACCTATTCCAGTGCCTCACCACCCTAACAGGAAAGAATTTCCTCCTTATATCCAACCTAAACTTCCCCTGTTTAAGTTTTGACCCATTACCCCTTGTCCTGTCACTACAGTCCCTAATGAAGAGTCCCTCCCCAGCATCCCTATAGGCCCCCTTCAGATACTGGAAGGCTTCTATGAGGTCTCCACGCAGCCTTCTCTTCTCCAGGCTGAACAGCCCCAACTTTCAAGGAGAGCTGTTGGTATGAAGAGAGCAATGAGTCCTCCCAGTACTTCCCAGGGGTGTAACTGGACTGACTAGAAAACTGGTGGTGGCTTACTACAGCATGTGATGTCTATGTTTCTAATGTAATAGCTATCATCTTTCCCTGATACCATGGGATGCTCTTAATTCAACTGCAGGCCTTGGCAGAAGTGGCAAAATACTGTCCTGTATGGGTTCAGGTCCAGTGGTGCTTATGGTAAATTGCTTTTGAAAGAGGAAGCCACCTGCTCAAAGAAGGTTTCACAGGCCAAAGAGAGTACTGGCCATTGATGGATAAGGGGTGTGGTATCTTTGGCACTTTGGCATGCTGATGGTACTTAGCTCTGTCTCAGACCTTGGATTAAAGTAAAGAGAGAAAGATGATTGTTCTGCTTATGAGACTTTCTTACCTTTCTATTTTTGTCAGTAACCCTGTGATTGTTTTTGTAATGCTTTCTGATTACTCGAGATTACTTTCCCCCATCCCCCATAATATACATCAAGATTGTCTCAGCCTGCCCAACACTGTTTTCACAATAGATAAGTCTGAGTCTGTTTATCTTCCCTGACTCCTTATCACTTTAGAGATCCTGCATGTTTTTCTTTTACAGAAACATTCCGTGCACCTACATTTCGAAATGGCCCTGATAAAAATGGCTTTTCTCTTGGGTGCAGCAAAAATCTGAGGGAAGTTTTTGGAGATGAAAAGAAGTATTGGCTAATCCCTATCTTTACCAGGTATTCAGTCTGAATGGGAATGAATTGGGAATAAATTGATCCCATGGCTTTCACCTTGCTTTCCCTTCTCCTAAAAAAAATAAGGGACAGCTGAAATGCCAAGTTGTAAATCTTGCACAATGAATATTGGTGTTGAGAAAATGTGCAGGAGAAAACTAAGCAGATTGTGTGGGGTTTTCATTCAGTGACAAGGGTCTTCTAGATACAGAAATTTGGAAAGGTTTGAGAAGTGTATTTCAAAATTTATACACCTTTTGGCTATAGTACTACTGTCTAATTGTAAAGCAGAAATCAGCGACTCAGTCGAGATCCAAATGCTTGAACTTCAACTGCTTGATGTTGTTCAGCTGGAACAACATCAGTTTAAAAACACCCCCTCTTACCCCTAAGAACATTTGACAGCTTTCCTTTTGCTGTAGCTGACTGTTTCAGTATCAGAGCTGCCTGAAAAAGTGCATGTAAATAAGCAGCACTGCAAAAAAGAAAAAAAAACCCTTATGTAAAGCTGGTTTACAACTTCAGCTGAGCTGGTGTTAGGGAGTTGCAAACAAGCCTCTGAAGCTTGAAACAAGGCTGACCTGCTGCCCACTCCCACCACTCCTGAAAGCAGAAATAAGTAGGAGCAGTGTTTCAACATTGCTTTTGGGGACTGTATATCAGTTTAAAAGGTTGGTGAACCTATTTGTGAAGCTGAGGTCTGGTTGCAAGCAGCAGAGGTAATAAAAAGATCTTAAGTTGATTGGGCTATATTGTAGACGGATCAGGCTGTTTTGCCACCACGTTTGTCCTGATTAAACTTGCTTTAAAAGAAGGCTTAGCTAACCTCAGAATGATGGGCGGAGAGAAAAGCACGGCCACCAAAATATTATTTATGCTACAGCTTCTGGGGTTGTAAATACTACATGACTATGTAAGTCTGACTACATGTGCATGGTGGTTTATGGGAAGACAAGGACTACAGTCTACAGAAACAGTGTTTTTGAAATAGATAGGCTAGTGCTGTGCTCAGCAGTCCATACTGCATGGTAGAGTGGGAATCATTTGAGCTCCAAGATTTAATTAACTGATCATCCAGTTTAGTGGTTAGAACTGCCTTTTTCAAGTCCAGAGTTCAGTGCTGCACTCAAGTAATTGATTCAAGCCTGTAGTGTTTGCTTATCGCATGGGTACTTGTTCAGTTCATTAAAGTCAACTACAAACAGTAATTTGAATCTTTATTTCTGGTTTAGTTTGGGCGATGGGTGTAATTTCCCAACTCGTTTGGTGATTATGGATCCAGAGCAACTTGCTGTCTCAAGCCAAAATGAACCTGCCAAAAGGTAACTGTTGTATTTAAGATACTGATTTTGTACTGCTCCATACTTAGAGAAGAATTTGTTTCAAACTTATTTTTTAATGTTTCATACTTCTTGTCATCTTCAGAGTTACTTTGTAAGTCTTCAGAGAAGGACAGACTGGATCAAGAGTAAAAAGTATTGCTTGATGCAGAAAGTGTTTTCTTGATTTTGACCTATAACAGAGGAAACAGTAATACAGAAAAATACAGTCAAAAAAGTTCTAGGGGAGGCTGAAAAATGGTCCATGGGGAAAAAAAAATGCTTAAGATATTTTTTTGAATGAGAGGCTAGGTGGTATTTGTATTTCACCTCCTCTAGCATGTTGTTGTGGTTTAAACCATGTTTAAATAAGGGATGTTGAGACACAGTTTTCAAGAGTGGTTGATCATTGTGGCTATTTGCTGGCTTTTAACACTGGAGAGGTTTTAGCTCATTACTTGGGGGTGTTCACATTTGCCATTTTAGAAGCATTCTATGTAAGTTTTGTGAGTTAGTAGCTGATGTTGTGAGCAGCAGTCACCTGATTTATCAAGCATTAAGAGGTTCAAAGGCAATACTGTGAAGAATATGCTTCCAGTGCAATATAACCTGTGGAATTTACACAAGAGCAGGACCTTTGTGCAAACAGCAGTGTCCTTTTGCATTAGGAAGATTTTCAGCATAAGGCACTAGCATTTGCTGGTGGGATAAAATGTCATTAGGTTGTTCTTTTGAGATAGTACTGGTTAGTTTTTCTTTTCAACTGTGTGGCAGTAGCATTGTTGTTCTCACGCCGTTTCTTGTCTATCAGTCTGTGGTTTTCTCCATTAGAACTGTGAGTAGCCTATGTCAGGTAAGGGTTTTGACTGATGACCAGAGCAGGCATATAGGAGAATTAGGATTGGGAGCAGGAGGCCATTTTTAGTTGTCAGTATAGGGTTTTGTTTGCCTTGCTCTGAGTAACTAGAAATGTCTGAAATAAGCAGTTCCTGCCATTATGGAATTCCTGTTGACTTTGCTTACTTCTCAGCTCTGGACCAAATCAGTCCTTTCCTACTCGACCACTCAGTGAATCACAAAATCGATTGCTAACCAGTGACAGTCAGTGGGTGGAAAGTGGCCCTGAAGAGGAAAATGTTAAATCAGGTAGCTTGTGCTGTAAAACTTCTGATGATTCTATGGTTTTGCTTGTGGTGGGTCTTTCAATTTTTTTTAGGTCTAAATAGTCCCTAGGAATTGGTTGAAATCAAGTAGAAGAAAATATGTTCCATAGAATTACATCAGCATGTTTAGAAGTTAAGGGTAACTTGTGTCCCATGGTCTCCTCCAAAATGAGTCATTACGCTAAGGTAATGGATAGGTAATTCCTGCTTTTGCACTTTGTGTTGTAATACTGGATATTTTCCATTGGATTAGGGGGAGGAAAATACTTTTCTAAAACAGGCACAACATGATAAATGTGCTTTCTGGTTTGAAGACTTTGCTATTTGTTGTGCAACTCTGCAAAAACACATAATTGAGATTCTCTCACATTTTAGGTGCAAAAAAGCATATTATAGTTTCATTGGAAAGCTGATCTGAGTTTATTACTAACCAGCCATCTCAGTGAGAAACAGGTAAGACCAACATAATTGCTTGCCATTTCTGTATGTGTATGAGTAAACTAAAATAGACGTTTTGAAGTTAGAAGTTAGTAGTCATTGAGCGCAGAGGAGTCCTCTGAGTTGGATGAGTAATAGGAAGGTCTAAATAAAACTCAGAATGGCTGTTAAGAAGGCAAGAATGGGAGTAATGCTGTAGTGCAGGAAACGTGGCCTGGCTAGATCTGAGATGAGTCGTACTAGTCCTGTAATTTAGATTTAAGTGGATAGTGCTGGATTTGTTACCTGACCAGGGAGAAGAATCTAATCTGACAAATAGCCAGTTTCAAGATGAAGCTGTGTCTTGGGGAAGTACTGTTCTAAAGGAACAGCTCCTGAACTCTCTGGTTTTAATCATGTATTGGTAGGTATGCTCTGCTCTTATGCTTTTAAGAAGCTGTGTGCGCACAAGGAAGGTGGGTCAATAGGTAAATAAATAATGTGTCTGCGTAGGGACTGCTTCGTCATACTTGGAGTTGACAGTGATCTTTTATGTAAGAGCTCTGTGGGCACTTGGCAATTAGGAAATACAGTGAGTGCTGCTGCATGTATGAAAACTTCTGTGGTGTATTTCCAGTGACTAAACATTGAGTTCATACTGTGGTGAGCTTATAAGCTCCCTTTAAATTTTCCTTTCTGGAGGAGAAACATTTTACTTGGATAACTAGCAACTGTCGATGCTGAAGGCTGAGTCGTTCACACACACCCCTGCCTTCCCTCTTTTCCAGATGAGAGACAGAACTTGCAAAGAACTGCCATTGTCTTTGGACAGAAAACACAGTATTTGAGCTTTGTGAACTCAGTAATTTTATGATCATGCTTTTTCTTTAATAAGACTTCTGACTTAGAATCACTGTTTTGGGAACAGTTTTGGTTTGTTTTCAAGAAAAAAATCTGTCTTAAAAGGTCTTTGTGGGGGATGGTGTGATGCTTGGTCAGCCTGCTCAGTGTAAACTCATTCAAAGCCAAAATTAGATTAGTGGGTGGTACTTCTGAAAAACCTACTCAACCATGAGAACCCACCAGTGATGAGTTTTCCCTTCACAAACACGATATAAATGTGCAAATGCATGTCCCAAGCAAGGGACTCCATTCAGCCTCTAGCTATATAAAAATTAATCTGATCTTAAACAGGTTCCTAAGGCTTTATACTCTTCACAGAAAGGGACAGGTATCTTCTGAGAGTGTTCATCCCCAGCAGCCTTTGGTAGAGAATTAGAGCAAAGTCTTAAGCTTTCTTTCCACTGACCTACAGAGGGAGTGTGACTGGCTTAAGCTAGACAATTAACTGATAATAGTTTGGGATTAATTTCCTTCCTATCCTGCCTCTCTTCCTAAACTCAGACCAAGTTTGATAAGGGAAGGTTGAGTACTTTTTGTGTCACTCTTGCCCAAAATGCTGTAGTTTTAAAAAGTTGTATAAATAAATGTGCATAATTTCACCCAAAGCAAAAGCATTTTGGTGTTACCTCACACAACAATTAACTCAGTAGCCCAGTGATCCAGCTGTTTTGAATTCAGTTGGATTTGATCACAGTTTCTGAAGGCCAAAATGGTTAATTCCTGTCCTCTTGCAATCGTAAGCAACTGTGCAATAGCAGTGAGATCCAACATCTGTTCCATGCACTTTTGTATACTCTGGAACAGAACAGTAGTTGTATTTTTCAATTTTTAACACACACCAGAAGCAGTCAGAGTCATGGCTGAAAAATAAAATTCCCAGATTATTCTAGAAAAAAGAATGTGATTGGCAAAGGAAGGTCAGTTCCCCAGCCTCACTAAGGCAAATGGCATTTGTGTCCCCGTATCTGTCAGTTTGATTCAAAATGAATGCACAGTTCTTGTCAATCAGAGATTCAAGAGACTTCAGCCACAGGTCAGTGGTGATGGATTGAGGTTCTCAGTGCAGATAATTTTCTAAAATACAAGCTGTTTAAAACAAGACTAAAACAAAGCAAAAAATTCTACACCTCCCAGAAAGCAATTTCAAGCTGACATTACCTTCACTGCTGTCCTGCATGAGCGGTCTGTAAATGAAGTTACCTACCTGCATTTTTGTAACACACTGATCTGTTTTTCAAAACTAATGGTACAATTTAATTAATTACCTTTTTTGTTTCACTAGGTTTCTGCAACGCATCTTGTGCTTGAATATTACTTAATTTTGTTTGGAAGAAGTTGATCTGTAAAATATGGAACACAAACATTTTGGGAAGAGACAAGAAATTGAAGTTTCTGCACAGTACAGTGGATTCTTGTAAGCACTATTACAGAGCAGGGAAGTTAAGACAGATGCCTTAAGATTCTTAATGTGCATTTATGCAACACTGAATTATATACTGCTACCAAAGGGCCAAATCCTGAAGTGCCCTGCTTGGATGCACAAGGTCCAGAGTGGGGAACTATGCATTTCTGTTATGTTGCAGTGGTGGGGGTTGATTGCAGAGACGCCTACCCCACCCACAGGCAAACTTCTTACCTTAGGCACTGCAGAAGTCACGTCCATAGCAGGTCTCTTCAGCAACAAAGAAAAAAGACAAAGGAGAAAAAAAAGGAGGAAAAAAAAAAGGGAAAGAAAAAATCAACATAGAGCATGGACAGTGAGTCTGAAGTGGGACTATTTGTAGTTCAAACACCAGAGGATGGGGAAGGGACTCGATGAATTCTTTCTTCTCCCCTCTTCTGTTAACCAGTCTACCCCATGATTATAGCTCTGCAAGTCTTTCAGGACTGAGGATTCCTTCTGCTGGCTATGCTTTGGAGCAAGGCAATGCCAACAGTGTAAAAGCCTTTTACTTGGGTGTTGCTTTCTTGCTATAGGATTGATACCTCTCCTTATTTTAACTTGATTTATTTAACAATATCAAGAACGTAGCTTAAAGAAGCAAACTTGTTTTTTTGTTGAAAAAAACATGATTATTTTCCAACACTTGTCTATCAGCATACAAAGAAAAGCCAATCCAAAAATGAATTAAGAGTTCTTACATTTTCTGATAATGTTTGCAGCGTTCTATATAAGGCAGTAACAAAATGGTAAAGTACCCCTGAGGAAAACTTTATTGTAATTGTGTGTTGTTAGAAAATGGAACTGGAAGAGTACTGCTTTTTCTGTGGGACTCTTGATGGTTTAGAAATACTGTGTTATGTATTTGTTTTATCTTTTTTAATAAAGGCACAATTTTTTATTTGCTCTAAAGTACCATATAAACAAACATCAAGTACTTATGTGAAAATTAGTGTTTGCTTGTACATCAGTATTAACGCACTGAAAATCTGTAGCCTTTAGTCTGCCATCTTCAAGTCCAGTTTGTGATGCTGAAATTGCTAAAGATTGAGTGCTTCATGCAGAGATGTACCTGTTCCCAAAAGGCAAAATATTTCCTGTGTGCGGAATAAAGTCCATCCTAAGCTCAAGACAAACGGCAAACAACAGGGGTGGTTTTCCCCTTGCTCCTCTATAGAAGATTGCTGTCTCCTCTTTGGGAGGTGTTAGAATTTTGCACCTGGAAAAAATGACAAGTACGACTTCCCTGAGTGTAACTTTTCTGATGTTCAGCTGATGCTGATAATAAACAGATGTGAGCCCTTTTCATACAAACTGAAGGTAGTAGTCCAGTAATATGTTTATGATGGATCTAATAAGGTATCGAGTACTGTAAGGTTTAAAACAAGTTGGGGTTTTTTTCTTTGGAAATAATATTTTTTTCTTGGATATTAATCTTCTAGAACAAGAACACTTTGAGAACTGATGAACATGATTTGGTCACGGTTGGATGTTCTTGAGATAGAAGTAATGGTCCAAACTTGCGTGTTTTATAAAAGTTGCAGAATGTTTTTTCGAGCTTTGTACAAGGAATTTTGCATTTGCTAACTTTAAAACTTACAAAAACATTTGCTACACATTAAGCTGGGAGGTTTGGCTTTTTCTCAAGTGTCAAGTGAGAAGTGCTCATCTGAACATCAGCTTGCAGCAGTAATGCACTAGGAAAATTTCTTGAAGGAGATGATAGAGATAGAAGGCTGCATGTTTAAGTGGCTTGTTCTGAATACCAAAATTTGCAGCCCCAAACACTGGTGGAATTTTAATGGAGGACCTAGGGTATCATATGGCTTTTACTACATTAGTGTGTTACAGCTGAGGTAATACATACATGCTGTCACTGTTTAACCCTGGACAGCACCTGGGTACCACACAGCCACGTGTTTGCTTCCCTTGTCACAGTATCACAGTATGCTAGAGATTGGAAGGGACCTCGAAAGATCATCTAGTCCAATCCCCCTGCCGGAGCAGGAACACCTAGATAATGTTACACAGGAATGTGTCCAGGCGGGTTTTGAATGTCTCCAGGGAAGGAGACTCCACAACCTCCCTGGGCAGCCTGTTCCAGTGTTCCGTCACCCTCACTGAGAAGAAGTTTCTTCTCAAGTTTAAGTGGAACCTCTTGTGTTCCAGTTTGTACCCATTACCCCTTGTCCTATCATTGTTTGCCACTGAGTAGAGCCTGGCTCCATCCTCGTGACACTCCCCCTTTATATATTTATAGACACTTATAAGGTCACCCCTCAGTCTCCTCTAAACTATAGAGACCCAGCTCCCTCAGTCTTTCCTCATAAGGGAGATGCTCCATTCCCTTAATCATCTTAGTTGCCCTGCGTTGGACTCTCTCCAGCAGCTCCCTGTCCTTCTTGAACTGAGGGGCCCAGAACTGGACACAATATTCCAGATGGGGTCTCACCAGGGCAGAGTAGAGGGGAAGGAGAACCTCTCTCGATCTACTAACCACCCCCCTTCTAATACACCCCAGGATGCCATTGGCCTTCTTGGCCACAAGGGCACAGTGTTGGCTCATGGTCATCCTGTCGTCCACTAGGACCCCCAGGTCCCTCTCCCCTACACTGCTCTCTAACAGGTCGTTCCCCAACCTATACTGGAACCTGGGGTTGTTCCTGCCCAGATGCAGGACTCTACACTTTCCCTTGTTATATTTCATCAAGTTATTCCCTGCCCAACTCTCCAGTCTGTCCAGGTCTCGCTGGATGGCAGCACAGCCTTCTGGCGTGTCAGCCACTCCTCCCAGCTTAGCGTCATCAGCAAATTTGCTGATAGTACACTCAATTCCCTCATCTAAATCATTGATGAATATATTAAATAATACCGGTCCCAGTACTGACCCTTGAGGCACTCCACTAGTTACAGGCCTCCAACTAGACTCAGCCCCATAGACTACAACTCTCTGGCTTCTCTCCTTCAGCCAGTTCGCAGTCCACCTCACTACCTGATCATCCAGACCACACTTCCTCAATTTAGCTGTGAGGATGCTGCGGGAGACTGTGTCAAATGCTTTGCTGAAGTCAAGGTAGACCACATCCACCGCTCTGCCATTATCCATCCACCGTGTTATTTCCTCAAAAGGCTAAGAGATTGGTCAAACATGATTTCCCCTTGGTGAAGCCATGTGGACTGCCCCTCATAACCCTCTTATCCTTGATATGCCTTAAGATGGCACCAAGGACAAGGTGTTCCATCACTTTCCCAGGGATGGAGGTGAGGCTGACCGGTCTATAGTTACCCAGGTCCTCCTTCTTGCCCTTTTTGAAGACTGGAGTGACATTTGCCTTCCTCCAGTCCTCAGGCACCTCTCCCGTTTCCCAAGACTTGGTAAAGATGATGGAGAGTGGTCTAGCAATGACTTCCGCCAGTTCCCTCAGCACCCGCGGGTGCATCCCATCTGGACCCATGGATTTATGGATGTCCAGATTGCTCAACTGGTCTCTAACCCATTCCTCATCGACTAAGGCAAACTGCTCCGTTGACCTGACTTCATCTAAGGTCTCCGGGGTACAGGGCTCTTCAGGACTGCCTGCAGCAGAGTAGACAGAGACAAAGAAGGCATTCAGTAACTCTGCCATCTCTGTATCTTCTGTCACCAGGGCACCCATCCCGTTCATCAGTGGGCCTACATTGCCTCTGGTGTTAGTTTTATCTGCCATATATTTGAAAAAGCTCTTTTTGCTGTCCTTGACCCTTCTCGCCAGGTTTAATTCTAAGATTTAATTCTAAGGATGCCTTAGTCTTCCTAGCTGCCTTCCTACATCCTCTAGCAGCAGCCTTATATTCTCCCAAGTGGCCAGCCCCTCCTTCCATGACCTGTAAACTCTCCTCTTCCACTTGAGCATACCCAGCAATTCCCTATTTAGCCACGCAGGTCTCCTGGCCCTCTTCCTTGACTTCCTACGTGTCGGGATGCTCCGATCTTGAGCTTGGAAAAAGCAATCCCTGGTGGGATCGGGAGAACCAGACAAAGGTAAAAGCCCTGGATTAAGAACAATTTAATAACTAAAATAAAGCATAATAATAATTTTAATGAAAAGGAGGGAGAGAGGAATAAAGCCCAAGAACCACAAGTGCTGCACAGTATAATTGCTCACCACCTGCTGAGTTGGGGAGGGCAAGCAGCTCTTTGGCAATTGAGCTCAAGCAAACTTTGGTACTGCTGCTGGCAGTGGCTGGGGACTATCAGGGGGTACTCCAGGAAATGGGCCCTTTGCCCCATCCGCTGAAAACTTGCAGTGACTGCAGCAAGAAGAGCAGGGGGAAGATGGATCCTGAGAAACCAACTGTTCATTGTGCTAGGTCATGTTGTACATGCTGGGTTTGTGCTTTAACATACTGTGCATCAGCATTCTTGAAAATACCTAGATTGCCACTAAAAGTAACAGCCCTTAAGCTTTTAGATCCATCAAATTACTATTGCAAGCCATAAGTAGTAGTTATTGCAGGATAGCTGACATTGGCTGCAATTAGAAACTATGCTTTAGTAATTCTGTTTTTTTCTTTTAAAAAAATCCCCATACACACACAAGTCATATATGCAGAATGTTACTGAACTCCCGGTGTAAAAAAAAAGAAGCCTGAGGCAGGGCAAGATTTCAGTGTGAATTGTCCTCTAGGTTTCTGAAATGTCTTGTGATGATAAACCTGTACCTGTGAACATGAGGAGGCAGAAGATGCATTAATAGAAAATACTTAAAACTTTTTTCCCTTAGGATTATCTATTTAGAGTGCACACCACACACCATTGCTGCTTCTACCAAAGGCACTTGACAGGGCAGGAAGAAGGGTTGTTTTCTGTCGTAACAGGCTTCCTGCAGTGTCACCCACTGGTTATGTACATCACAAGCCTTTGATTAAAAACTTCCACTTTAAATATTCAGAGGGTTATTTTAGAGAGTTTGGGAACTTCTATTTTTAATGATTTGAGATTACAGTAACTTTGTTAAAGCTGTCTCTCGAATGTGGAATTTGCAGGTTCCAAACTGCTTTTGGTACTGTTCTTAGAAACCATCCCTATTCTCCAGGGTGCTAAATGGCTATACTATTCAGATACTGTTCCTTCCCTCATTTGACCTCTTGTGGCTCTTCTGTTACTGCAACTAATCTTCCAGCATTTGGAGGTTTTGGTTACGTTCGGTACTATTCAGTATGCACTCAAAGAAGTTCTTGATTGATCTAAGTATGGTCCACTTCTAGC